CATGCGCCGGCCAGCTGATTTTCGGGCCTTCTGGGCCCACTGGAAGTTGGGAAATGGGCCATTTCTGGCCTCCAGAGGGCCTCCAGGGGGGTGGGGGAGGCTGTTTTTGCCCTCCCCAGGCTCCAAGAAAGCCTCTGGAGCCTGGGGAGGGTGAAAAACAGGCGTACTGGGCCCACTGATAACTTTTTTCCCGTCGCGTGCCAAAAGCGGGGGGAGAGTGGGGGGTTGCGTGCACATGCGTGGGGCGCAGGGGGCATTGAATTATCCATGTGGGCACACATGCACGTGATCCCCCCGCACTCCCCCCACTTTTGGCACATGACGGCAAAAAGGTTAGCCATCACTGTCTTAGAGCATACTTCCACAACTCAGAGTCTTCTTGATGTTCATTTTACTACAATCCCCAACCTATAGGTCTTTTGGTACTTAGAGAAAATATTTTACATTTGCTGCAATATCTCAACTCCGTATAGCTGATCTCTGTATGTCATTTGAAAAAGTTCTATTAAAGTGAGAAATAAAACAGCAAGAACTAGTTGCCAGTGTTAAAGTCCAAAACAAAAACAGTTGCCCCAGATCAGAAGCACATTTTCTCTTGAAGCACAGATACTTATAAATGATTACTATAAGAAGAGGCTGAATGGACAACTAGACTGCCTGTCCTGATCTAAGGCATATGTCAAAATGCCCGCTCATTATTTTTTGCATCACTCGATGCAAAGTGAATTTTCAGAGATGTTTCACTGATTTCTCTTCTCAATCAACTCTTGGTTGATAGGGGCCCACCAAAATTTGTCTGTAAGTAAAACAAAGAGGATGACAAAGTCTCAGAAATCACATGACCGAATACCCCCAAAATAACAAAAAGTGAAAAATTCAGAAATGATAAAATCTGATTTCATTCTCCTTAAAGTTCCATTTGGATTGAGTATAGGGCAGAAAGAAAAAAAGAAGAGAAGAGAAGGAAGAGAGAGGAGAGAAGAGGAGAGGAGAGGAGAGAAAAAGAGAAGAGAAGAGAAGAGAAGAGAAGAGAAGAGAAGAGAAGAGAAGGGAAGGGAAGGGAAGGGAAGGGAAGGGAAGGGAAGTCCCTTCCACCTTTGGAATTTACCAGTTAAGGCAATAAATTCACATTATTTCATGCAAGAACCATGCAAACTCCAGAATCGACATGAGACACTGATTCAGCACCATAAACAGCTCCTTTCCCGATAGCTTTATTGCTCTTTAACAATTTAGTTGGTGGTACCAGCACAGCGGTCTTTTAGGATGTTCAGATTCCCGCTCAACAAATTGAATGGTGGAGGGTACAAACATAGTAGGACTGGCTCATTTTAAAGGAAATGAACTGCCATCTAAACACCCCCTCAAAAAACTGTTTTAGAGATAAAAAGGGTATTATCCGAACCATTATCATTGAGTTTAGCAGATAAAGCAGTAAGTTTCCCTCCCAATCAAATAAGCATCTCATGTTTTAATTCAAGGCAAAAACCAAACTGTCATGCATCCAGAATAATTCATAACCTCCTCCTGAAATATTTCAAAGATTGCTCATTCCACAGCTTGTTCTAATGGATGCAATTACACATATACAGCTTAAAATAAGCTATTGTATAACTTGGGCTGTGTCTATTTCGTATTCTGCTGGTGAAAGCACCAGCCAGAGAATAAGAAGAGAGGTGCATTTTGCTTCTTTTAGCAAGGTAGTCACCGATTTATTTATTTTTTAAAGGATAGAGCTGGTGGATGCATCATAGGCTCAATTAAGATGTTCTGGTTTGAAAAGCTCTCCCGTCTCCACCTCCAGGGAAAAGAACTGAAAATTAATTATTTTAATTGACAATTACCAAGCTCTATTTCACTGTAACCTTACCCACATTGTCAAATTATTTTTGTGGTGAGGAAGAGTGGAGGAGAGTGTATTAACTCCAAACAATCTTTTCACTCTCCCTGGTTCAGAAGCCACAGGAAATGGGACTTACTTTCTGCAGCAAGAATAATTTTCAATTTATAGAATGTACGGTTCAGATTTTCCAAGGCTCTAAATCATGTTGCAATTGGAACCTGTACTGTAGAGACCGAAAAACTGTCCCTGTAAACATTTGTTTCCCATTTAGAAGAAAGATGAACCTGGTGATTGAAAGTTGTAAACCCTGTGCATTCTTCTTCACTGTCAACTGTCATGTATGTAGAGTGAATGCCTGAACAATGAATGAATAATATACTCAATGAATGAGTTGATATGGTTGCTATACAGCAATTCATGGTTTATACAACTGTCAGTTGAAATGGGCTGGTTTCAGAGTTTTTCCTGGACATGGCAATGGGAGATCTTCCATAGTCTGAATAATTTCACGTGGCTAGGAGAATCACTGACTTGGAAGGGAACTTGAGATCTTCTAGTCCAACCCCCTGCTCAAGCAGGAGACCCACTACCATTTCAGACAAATGGTTGTCCAATCTCGTCTTAAAAACCTCCAGTGATGGAGCATTCACAACTTCTGGAGGCAAGTCGTTCCACTGATCAATTGTTCTCACTGTCAGGAAATTTCTCCTTAGTTCTAGGTTAGATCTCTCCTTGATTAGTTTCCATCCATAGCTTCTTGTTCTGTCTTCAGGTGCTTTGGCGAATAGGTTGACCTTCTCTTCCTTATGGCAACCCCATAGATATTGGAACACTACTACCAGGTCATCCCTGGTCCTTCTTTTCTTTCTTTCCATTAAAGCAGTGCTTGCTCTATTCTGGATCTCAGTCACAAGAGAACCGATCAACACCAAAGTCAGCTGTTCCCAATGCAGCCTGTCCACATGCCCACAAAAAATTCTGCAGAAAAAGAATACTGCAGGCAGTCCTTGACTTACAACAGTTCATCGAGTGACAATTCAAAGTTACAATGACAATGACAAAATTACAAAGTGATGTATGACCATTGCAGCATCCCACGGTCACATGATCAAAATTCAAACACTCGGCAACCAATTCATATTTATGATGGTTGCAGTGTTCTAGGTCACTGTGATCCCCCTTTGCGACCTTCGGACAAGCAAAGAAAATGATGGGGGGAGGGGAGATGCCAGATTCACTTAATAACCGTGTTACCAACTTAACAATGGCAGTGATTCACTGAACAAGGCTGGCAAGAAAGGTCATGACATGGGGCAAAATTCACTTAACGACTCGCTTAGCAACAGAAATTTTGGGCTTGATTGTAGGCATAAATCGAGGACTATCTGTAGTCTGCTTTTAGGAGTGGGTGATATAGGAAGCACGGCTGCTTCTGCTCCTCTTCCTCCCCTATTTCACTACCCTTCTGTTCCAAAGCTGGCACTCACTCACATGCAATTCCTGGTCATCTACAGCAGAGGTCTCCAACCTTGGCCACTTTAAGCCTGGAGGACTTCAACTCCCAGAATTCCCCAGCCAGCTGGGGAATTCTGGGAGTTGAAAGTCCTCCAGGCTTAAAGTGGCCAAGGTTGGAGACCCCTGACATACAGTCATCAAAGCAAATTATTTTAAATGAACAATTGTAGTTGGACTCGAAGTGTTTTTAATGTTTGTACTGTAACTTTGGGTTTGGGGGTATTCTTTAGGTTTCAACATTACAAGCTGCCCAGAGTTATGCATGTGAGATGGGCAGCTATATAAATCCAATATAAATATTATCTGGATACATAATCTGAATGGAGGGGGGGGGCTATTTTAAACCAGGATAACATTATTTTTCATCCTATCATCTATGGTCTATTATTTGATGCTGTACAATGTAGATTATCAGGCAGAGGGACTCCATCCTCTCCTCCCTTGTCTCTCTATCAGTTTTAGTAATAAAATCTGAATTGGGGGGGGGGTTTGCTAAATTTGCTGCAGAGAAAGATGAGCTATGGTCGTCGTCATCGTCCCCCCCACCCTTAACTTATGGTCAGTGGTGAAATCCAACTTTTTTTACTACCGGTTCTGTGGGCGTGGTCTGGCTTGGTGGGTGTGGCAGAGGAAGGATACTGCAAAATCTCCATTCCCACCCCACTCCAGGGGAAGGATATTGCAAAATCTCCATTCCCACCCCACTCCAGGGGAAGGATACTGCAAAATCTCCATTCCCACCCCACTCCTGGGGAAAGGATACTGCAAAATCTCCATTCCCACCCCACTCTGGGGCCAGCCAGAGGTGGTATTTGCCGGTTCTCCGAACTACTCAAAATTTCCGCTACCGGTTCTCCACAACCTGTCAGAACCTGCTGGATTTCACCCCTGGTTATGGTGGGTTGTCTTCAACCTAGCCGAAGCAACCATGTCCTCCTGACAAAAATCAAATCCCCGTCTCAGGTAGACCTTTTTCCTTAAAACATTTAAGGGCTGTGCTTTACGTGGAGAAAGGTTAAAGCGAGAGTTTTGAACTCTGCGTCATGGAATAAGTCACAACTGGCTGGAATGACACACCGTCGTGACAAGCCATGATTTACTTACTATAAACCTCCATCCTGCTGAGCCCTAATCCAGTAACCACAGCATGGCGTCCTATGATGAGAGGAACTAGTCAGTGGGGCAGTCAGTCCGCCTCTGAGCCATGAAGGGATTCTTGGGGGAATGCTTCGCCCCCGCAACCGGGTCTCCCCCCCCCGCACCCCCGTTTCCCGTCATCTCCCCTACGCCCCTCAAAAGCCCTTTGAACGGCCGCCGCGTGAGCGAGGCGCAAAAAAGGAGCGAGGGAGGAAGCCCTCCACAACAACAAAAAAACGCCTCAGGCGCCTTCCCCCTCCTCCTCCTTCCCCCCCCTCCCCTTTCTCACTTTTATGAATGGAATTCTCCAGCCCGAGCCGGATTACTATGCCGCCCGGCGCTCTCTAGCGCGCGGTTGTCCTCCTTCGACACCGGATTGGTTCCCGCCGCCATTGACGTCACCCGACCGGGTGTGGGAGGAGTCGCCCGGCCAGAGCCCTTTAAGTATGAGTCACCCTCGAAAAGGGGGCTTGTTCACTATAACACCGGGCGTCCGTGTCCCCCCCCACCCCACCAACCACTACCACCACCAGTTCCCGGCCAGTCTGCAATCCGTCGCTGCAGCTGGACCCGGGGCTTCTCCATCCTCGCGATCCACCTGCTAGCGTCCGGCCAACATCTGCATTGGGAGAGGCGGATTCCTTCGACCTGCAGCCAGCCAGCCATTCATTCATCCATCCATCCCATCGGACGCCCGGATCGACCCCGCTGCTATCCGCCTCCCCCTCCTCCCCCCCCTCCCCAGCCGAGGCTTCTTCCTCGCTGAATGTGCAGTGGGACCCTCTTCCAAGGTGAGTGCGGCCGCCTTTTCTCTCGCCTTCCTCATTTTGACAGCCCAAGAGAACCTTCCCTGCCTCCTCTTGCAAGAGGTCCAGATCTTAGCGAGCCCTCTGTATACTAGTGCCGTTTAACCTGCGTTTAAAGACAATCGGAGGCTAGACTCTTTAACTAGACACTTGTTTTTAAAGGATGTTTTCCCGCAGTCCAGTTCCAAACTTGCGAGTCAATAGGCTTTACAGTTTTAAAGTCGCACGTTACACATCAGAACTGGGGAAAAAAGAGAGATCCGGATGGTGTGCCAGCCCTTTTCAGCTTTCTGTGTGCCTGAACACAGATAAACATCTACAAATCCTAAGTGTTCAACCAACAGATCATCCGCCAGGTATTTTCTCAGGAAACTAGCTGGAATCGAACTCTAGAAGGAAGGGCTTCATAATTTGATGCCTTCCAGATATGCCTAGACTACAAACTTCCTAATTCACAGCCAGGATGGTTGTTGACCACTTCTGACTGTGAAATAGTGTTCCGTACTTGTAGAGGACAGCAGGCTGCTGAAAGTTTGTTAAATATGTCTGTTTTTACTGCAGATAAATTCCTATACTTTATTGCATTCATTTGCACCATGATTTAACAGACATAGGCAGAATAAAAATGATTGTTTTTTTTTTACAAAGGAGGAGGACATAAACATGGCTCAGCTTGTTCCCTTGACTTTTCATGTTTACCAGCTTGCTGGCAGAAAGGCAGAGAGAAGTTGGATGCTTGCTGCACAATCTATTGTGTTGCACAGTGTTCAGAGCCGTCTCTTCCCTATAAACATTTTTTTGAATGCCACGATTTAAGAAAAGAGCTAAATTAGGTTATGAGTTAGACAGAGCAAGCAAAAGAGGAAGGGATACAGACAGGGAGACCTGTCCAGGAACAAGGGGAAAAAAATATGATGTCATCTGGAGCAACCTACGTTGACAAGAGACAACATTGGCTTGTCCTCTTTTATCTTGACGGGCTTGTTTGAAGAACAGGAAGAAAAGAGACGGGGAAGGTGGCAAATAATGACAGACCCAAGCCAGAAATATCCTATTTAGAAGGCATTGATCACAAGGACCCAACCATCACAGGCAAACTATACCTACAAAAGTAAGCCACCTTTGGTGATGGTTTTAGGCAACTAAAGATAGCTGGTTTTACCTCCATCTTGACTCCCAACCTTAGGAAACATGTATCAATTCATCTATCCCTTCCATATGCACACAAACATACATGTAAAAACATGCCCAAATACTTACAAATACTGCCAGCTAGGTGGCTCAAGTGGCTAAGACGCTGAGCTTGTCGATCAGAAAGATTGTCAGTTTGGCGGTTCAAATCCCTAGTATAGATCTCCTGCGTGAGCAGGGGGGTTGGGCTAGATGACCTCCAAGGTCCCTTCCAACTCTGTTACTGTTAACTTGCTGCTTCACTCCAAACCTGAGTTGAAACTGAGTTTTCTTTTCATCTGCTGTTTCCGACCACAGATAAGAGAGCATGAAAGAGGACGCGCCCACCAACACCACCAAGATCCAGCCAAGCTGGTTTGTGCCAACTAATGGCAGCACCAGCAAGTCCTTCTATTTCTCAGAGACGCCTCCTGCTCTTCCCTTAAATCCTTGGGATGTCGTCCTGTGCGTCTCTGGGACGATCATCTCCTGCGAGAACGCCATTGTGGTGGCCATCATCTTTTACACTCCAGCTTTCCGGACTCCAATGTTCCTGCTGATTGGAAGCTTAGCCACAGCTGATCTCTTGGCTGGCTTGGGCCTGATCTTTCACTTTGCCTTCGTTTATTGCGTCCAGTCCGAGATGGTTAACCTCCTCACCATGGGCCTTCTGGTGACCTCATTCACCGCCAGCGTGGGCAGCCTCCTGGCCATCACCATCGACCGCTACTTGTCTCTCTACAATGCGTTGACCTACTACTCGGAGAGGACAGTCACGCGGACCTACGTCATCCTCATCCTCACGTGGGGGGTCTCCATCAGCGTTGGACTGTTGCCCGTCATGGGCTGGAACTGCTTGAAGGACAACTCCAGCTGCAGCATCATCAAGCCGTTGAACAAGGACCACCTCATCATCCTGTCCATTTCCTTCTTCATGGTCTTTGCGGTCATGTTGCAGCTGTACGTGCAGATCTGCAAGATTGTGTGTCGGCATGCCCAGCAAATCGCCCTGCAGAGACACTTCTTGGCCACTTCTCACTACGTCACTACCCGGAAAGGCATCTCTACGTTGACTCTCATCCTGGGGACCTTTGCTTCATGCTGGTTGCCCTTTGCTGTTTACTGTCTCCTGGGAGATTACACCTACCCTGCCCTCTACACCTATATGACTGTGCTCCCGGCCACCTACAATTCCATGCTCAATCCGGTGATTTATGCCTTCCGGAACCAGGAAATCCAGAAGGTCTTATGGGCAATATGCTGCAGCTGTATCTCCTCCTCCATGCCTTTCCAGTCCAGATCGCCCAGTGACGTCTGACTCCTCTCGCTCGCTCCCTCCCTCCCTCGAGCCTTCTCCCCAATCTCTTGCCGCTCAAATGTGCAGAAACCTCTTTCTAATGTCCTTCCCTTCCCTTTTGCCAATGTAAGTGACCAGGCTGTCCTAATCTTTTTATTTATTTTGACTTCAGGAAAGAAAAAGGAAAAACAAAAAAGGACAAATTTCATTTATTTTTTTAACCATGCCTTTTTTTTAAAAAAAGACCGGGTTGGGGAGAGAGGGAAAAAAAAACAACCCTGTGTTTCTGCTTTTGTGTGTATGTGCATGCGTGGGTGTATTTGGTGACATGGCAGGTCCGATGCAAATATTTTGTCTGAAATATTGAGAGTGCGTTATTTTCTTTAACAAGGGAAAAACGGCAAGAAGCAGCCTCAAAACCTTCAACCTTTCTTTTTTGAGTTTTTATAGCCTTAATTACCTCAGATCTCTAGAAAACTATTTTTCTACATTTTAAACAAATATCATTGTACCCCCTTCTATCTCTCCTTCGATCGATGGGGATAAAAAAAAAAAAAATAGCCCAGAGCAATGCCAGATTTCAAAAACAAAATAGGTCCGTCTGTCCCTCACCCCCCCCCATCTGTATTTGGCTGCCCCCTGGTGTTTATTCTAATACCTGCAACCATAAGAAGAAGAGTGTGCCATTGGGGTGGAGGAGGGGTGGAGGGCAAGGGGAGAACAAGGGGTAGTATTAATAAAAAGAATGTATAATATGAGATCTGAAGCAATGTGAATGTCCAGAGTACAGGTAGTCCTCGACTTACAACCATTCGTTTAGTGACCGTTCGAAGTTACAATGGCACTGAAAAAAAAGTGATTTATGACCACTTACGAACATCTCCCGGGTCACGTGATCAAAATCCAGACACTTGGCATCTGCCGTGTATTTATGACCTCTGCAGTGTCCCAGAGTCATGTGATCACCTTTTGTGACCTTCTGACAAGCAAAGATCTTGCTTCCCTGCTTGAGCAGGAGGTTGGACTAGAAGACCTCCAGGGGTCCCTTCCGACTCGTTATTGGGGAAACCACCATCATGAAATAATGTTACTAACTTAATTGCAGTGATTTTCCCACTTAATAACTCTGCTCCCCCCCCCAAAAAAAGGTCATAATAAAGTGGAGCAAAACTCACTTAACTGTCTTACTTAGCAACAGGAAGTTTGGGCTCAAGTTGTGAGTCGTAAGTTGAGGATTACCTATAACACAATACTAAAAGCTTTCAAAGGCACTATTTCTGAATAACCAATGTCAAGATTACAGCCTAAATGTATCTTGTATCAATTTTAGACCGTTTTGGACTAGGGTTTTCATTTTCCTAGCTGTCCGGGACAAAAATGGGTGTTCGTAATTTCTAGCCCAATATTGTTGGGACCAAGGCTAAAATGGCTGAAACAATTGCACTAACACTGGGATGGGAAGAATTCCAGGCCATGTTTATTGACACTGAGAAGTCAGGGTCTCATGTAATCTAGTTCCTGGGGCCCTCGACTTGTTTTTGACTTCAGCACCCATCATCCAGCTGGCTTGACCAAAGGATTATGGGGGGGGGGGCTTTAGCCCTAAAAATGCCAAGGGCATTCTTTTCTCTCTCTCCTTTTACATTTTGCACAGGTCCTTGAAAGGAAATGAATGTAACAGGCACTTTGGAAATAGGATTTTATTTTATCGTTTTGAGCCAGTTTGGTGCAGTGGTGAAGGCACCAGGCTAGAAACCGGGAGACTGCGAGTTCTAGTCCTGCCTTAGGCACAAAGCCAGCTGGGTGACCTTGGGCCAGTCACTTTCTCTCAGCCCTAAGAAGGAAGCAATGGCAAGCTACTTCTGGGGGAAAAAAAAAAAAACCTTGCCAAGAAAACTGCAGGGATTTGTCCAGGCAGTCTCTGAAAATCAGACATGACTGAACAGGAGAAAGGAAAAAAAAAATGGTCTTGCAGGGAAATTCAGAAGATGTTCTGTGAGAGCACTGTGTTCTTTTGTTTACAATCATGAGGGAAAAAAAAAAGAAATAAAGATAATTTTGTGATACTTGAAACTGTGTCAGTTTTCTGTCCACTGCATGAAAGTCACTGTTTTCTTGATGGGGGCATCTTGTAGGCAAATTAGGCTATACTTGCCATAATCACCAGCCAGCATGCATGTTGGCTGGGGATGATATGAGCTGTAGTCCAACTTGCCTGTCATATTAGGAGAGAGCAGCATAGCTGCCACAAGACAAATAAGAGATGCTGAAAGGAATCTTAAATCTTTGGCTGCTTTTGAAGTTCCTTCAAATCAAGTACATCTCCATGAGGTTACATTTTTTCCTCTTTCTCCTCCTATTCTTGGGTATCCCAAAAATGCTTTTTCAAAACGCATCTGGACTTTGTTTTTCCTTGAAGACGTTTTGCTTCTCATCTAAGAGGCTTCTTCAGTTCTAGGACAAACATGACCCTTTGGGGGCAACCATGACCTGGATGACTGAGAACCTTCATAAACACTATTCTTGGGCAATTCAAAGATGCTTTTTCAAGAGGCAACTGGACTTTCTGGTTTTTCTTTGAAGATGTTTCACTTCTCCTCCAAGAAGGTTCTTGGAATCATCTTCAAAGAAAAACAAGAAAATCCAGTTGCCTCTTGAAAAAGCACCTTTGGGACAATCAAAGAGCTGAGGTGGCGCAGTGGTTAGAGTGCAGTTCTGCAGCTACTTCAGCTGATTGCTAGTTCAGCAGATCAGCGGATCGAATCTCACCGGCTCAAGGTTGACTCAGCCTTCCATCCTTCCGAGGTGGATTGTTGGGGGCAATATGCTATTTACTATACTGTCTTTGGTGTAAGCCGCCCAGAGTCCTCGGAGAGTGGGCGGCATAGAAATATGAAAAATAAATAAATAAATAAATATGACCTGGATGACTGAGAATCTCCATAGACACTTGGGTAATTTACTATTTCTTTATACTGTGTATTTCTTATATACTGTGTATATAATTTATATTTGCTGATAAAGAAATAAAGAGAGACTAGTATAGATCTATTTCAAGCTATTTAGCTCTCATCAGCTAGCCATACCCTTACTCGCATTCGAACTTGGGCTGCCTACATATTAAGCAGTTGTATTAACCTCTGAGCCACAAGTTTTCCTCTCTTTATCAGCTTGAGCCAGGGGAGAGATTAAGTGTTTTTCTGTCGAAGCACCTGGTCTACCCCAATATGGGAGGGAGCATACTGCGTGAATGCAAGTGCTTGAGGGCTCCTGGATTGGAGCTGAAAGGCGAAAGGGAAGCAGTATGCTCCCTCCCACATGCTGGGGTAGACCAGGTGCTTCGACAGAAAAACACTTAATATATATGATGAGCTGGCTGTCCTCTATAATAGACCAAGATGGTGCCCACGTCTTCATCCTGGCCTCTTCCTAGGCTGTTGCATATACACATTCTATTTTCTAAGAATGCCTAGGCATTTAGAGGCTGTAAGAGGAGTTTCATGGTAGCCAGAAATCAGAAGCATCATAGCATCTTTTCAGACTAACACAACTCATTCAAGGCATCAGCTTTTGAGGGCTCAGCATCAGCTCGCAAATGCTATGCCTTTAATAAAATCTGGTCTGGTCTGAAAAGATGCTACAGGAGTCCTCCTGATTTAGGGGGTGAGAAGCACTTCCATCAACCGAGAGTAGGCTAGAGATGGGCCTCTTGCCAGCTTCTCATTTTTAAAGACAGCAGGTTGCTGAGCAGCAATCAGGAGATACCTAAGGGTACCGAATTGCTAATGTTGCCGAGATGTTGCCTTTTTAATATGTTACAGCAAAAAATAGCCGAGAGTCTGGGGTCACCTTAACACAACCTTGTAAATAAGCCCAGAATAGTTACCAACATTTAAAAAAAGAAGAAGCAGCATGTCAACAAATAGGGAACACTCTGTCTTTGTCACAGTCAAATCCAAACAATAAAGATCAGTTGTGACCTTGGGCCCCTCCTTTTCTCCCAGCACTTGCAGCAAAGAGGACAAAGATAGAGTGTGTCATGTACGGGTAGTCCTTGACTTACGACCATTTGTTTAATGTCCGTTTGAAGCAGTGGTGGGTTTCAAATTATTTTACTACCGGTTCTGTGGGCGTGGCTTGGTGGGCATGGCATGGCTTGGTGGGCGTGGCTTGGTGGGCATGGTAGGGGAAGGATACCATAAAATCTCCATTCCCACTCTACTCCAGGGGAAGGTTACTGCAAAATCCCCATTTCCTCCTGATCAGCTGGGACTTGGGAGGCAGAGAATAGTTGGGAGTGGGGCCAGTCAGAATTTTTACTACCGGTTCTCCAGAACTGGTCAGAACCTGCTGGAACCCACCTCTGGCTTGAAGTTATAACAGCACTGAAAAAGGAGACTTAAAACCTGTCCTCGGTCATTGCAGCAGCCCCAGGATCCTGTGATCAAAATCTGAACACTTGGCAATCCCATATATTTACGATGGTGGTAGCATCCCAAGTCATGGCATTTATGACTTTCCCAGGTCATAAGCAGTGGTGGAATTCAAATTTTTTTACTACCGGTTTTGTGGGTGTAGCTTGGTGGGCGTGCCGTGGCTTGGTGGGTGTGGCAGGGGAAGGATACTGCAAAATCCCCATTCCCTCCCCACTCACTCCTGGGGAAAAGATATTGCAAAATCTCCATTCCCACCCCACTCTGGAGCCAGACAGAGGTGGTATTTGCCGGTTCTCCGAACTACTCAAAATTTCTGCTACCGGTTCTCCAGAACCTGTCAGAACCTGCTGAATAGCATCCCTGGTCATAACTTTGCTTCCAATGAGCAAAGTCAATGAGGGACACTGGATATGCCTAACAACTCACTTAATGACTGCATCATTAACAATTGCTGCAAAATGGTCATAAAATCGAGCACAACTCACTTAAATGACCGCACCACTTAGTTGGTAGAACTTCCAATCTCAATGGCAGTCCTAGCGAAATGTCTGTGGAGATTCTCAATTGTCCAGGTTGTGGCTGTCCCAAAGGTGCTTTTTTTCTAGAGGCAACTGGATTTTTTGGTTTTTCTTTTGAAGATGTTTCACTTCTCATCCAAGAAGCTTCTTCAGCTCTGACTGGATGGTGGGGAATGGAAGGCTTTATATTCCTTGCAGACAGCTGGTCATTTGCATCCTTTTGGAGAATTGTTGAGGCCACTTAGAAGTTGATTTGTGTCCTCAGGGCAGGGGTGAAATGCTCCCAGTTCGGACCAGATCGCCCTCCAGAGGGCCTCCAGAGCCTGGGGAGGCTTTTTTTCGCCCACCCAGAGGCTCAAGGAAAGCCTCTGGAGCCCAGGGAGGGCAAAAACTCCCGCCCCCCACCGTGGTGCAGGAGGCCAACTAGGCCACACCCACCATGGCCACGCCCACCCAACAACCGGGCAAGGAAGCCCTTGCTAAAATTTTTGAAGCCCACCCCTGCTGACAAGGGCTCCCATTTTCCAAAGCTTCAATCATTTCCCTGGCTATTTTTGTACCTGCTTGGCCAACAATCCTAGCAGCTGCAAAATTGAAAGTTATGCCCTTGTTCATTGCAATGTGAAGCTATCAATAAGTTCGGGTGTCCTTGTCTGAGGAGGCACACAATTAGACAATAGCATCAGTGGTGGGTTGCTCCCGGTTCGCACCAGTTCGCAAGAACTACCTTGGTAGTACAGTGGTCTAAAGCACCCTGTTATTAACATTCAGCAGTCTGCAATTACTGCAAGTTCGAATCTCGCCAGGCTCAAGGTTGACTCAGCCTTCCATCCTTTCTAAGGTAGGTAAATTGAGGACCCAGTTTGTGGGGGCAATAAGCTGACTTTGTATAAATATACAAAAGGATGAAGGCTATTGCTTAGCGCATTGTAAGCCGCCCTGAGTCTCCGGAGAAGGGCGGCATATAAATCAAATTTAAAAAAAACAACAAAAAAAACCTGGTAGTAAAAATTTGTAGTAGTTCGGAAAACCAGTAATAACATTGGCTGGCCACACCCTGAACCGGCCCAGTCGCCGCTCGCTTACCCCGCGAGCTTACTCTGATGAGGTGGGCGCTTACCCTGCCCACCTCATCAGAGGCTTTTTTTTTTACTTTTAAAAGCAATTTTTCTGCAACCTCTGCAACCCCTTTTCTGCAACCTCTTTTTCTGCAACTTCTTCGGCCAAAGAGGTTGTAGGGAAAAAAATGCCTTTAAAAGCCTCTGGCAATCCCAGCTGAGTTGCCTGATCCTCAGAGGCTTCTAAAAGCAATTTTTTCTGCAACCTCTTAAGGTTGTAGAAAAAATGCTTTTAAAAGTTAAAAAAAAGAAGTTGGCCATGCCTACCGTCAAATTACTGCCCCACCAAGCCACGCCCACAAAATAAGCCACACCCCCAGAACCAGTAGTAAAAAATTTTACAACCCACCCCTGAATTGCATCAGATACAAGATACTTCTTAATCGTTAGTTGGGTGCACCCATTGCTTTAAGGCTTGGTTGGTGGAATAATCCAAAACTCAGATGAATTTATACCAAAGGTATATAGACCACGGCTTGCAAACTAAAATAGGTTTGCACACAAACTAGGCCAAACCAATTATGATTCCATCAGTACATGGATTATTTCCCTCCTTTTCTTTCCTTCCCACCCTCCTCAACCTTACCTAAAATTAAAACTAGAAACCCTGTGAATGTTTGCTGAAGCTAATTAAAGTGGCAATGAGATCCTCATCTTACCTCCAAGTTGACTGAATTCCAAAGATGACAAACAATCTCTCCTTAAAAAGATGTTTGTGTTTGGGTAGGATGAAGAAACAGGCATCTTTTCTTTTGTTTCGCTGTTCCGATTATATAAAATACTCGAGGATTTTTATTTTTTTAAAACTATCTTTTCAAAACAGAGAATAGCTCTGTCCCCTCTCAGGCAAAGGCACTCAGAAATCTGAATGGAAGGCTGATGTCCTTGGCCTGATTTAGGTTGTAAAAGCAACAAAGGAATTTCTTTAAAAACAACAACAACAATAAAGGATTCCCAACATAAGAAAGATAGAGGAGCTTTCAAATAAGAAGGGCAAAGCG